CTAGATGGCCTCTTGTTTATCTTCAAGCCTTTAAGACCCCAGATGCTGTATCTTTTGATAGCTGGGCACCATTACCTCTCTTCAGAGGCTGTGTATTTCTGAACAGATGTTGCCAGCTTACTGCTCTGATGGCTGGAGTAATTAGCAGTCAAGGACTCAATACAACTTGCATAGAGCAATTTTCCTAAAGTAAGTCATTTAAAATATTGCTGGATTTAGATTTCAGTCAACTGGCCCATCCATACAAGCCATTCAGAAGGTAGTTTTGGCTATAGGATATGTTGTAAACGTGTGCCCTTCCTGCCTGAGCGTTGTCTCTGAACGTTGAGCCCATTATAATTCCTTGGTAGTGGGGCTGCACAAAGTCCCAGAGATGTTGGTGTGATTTGATTTTACGTTATCCACCATTTGACCGTATCTTTCATTAGAATTATTTCCAAAAATGTTCCCTGCCATATTAATCGCGTATTAATGTAACACTCATGGAAATGTCATGTTATGTTAAAATATGACAAATTCAATTAGACTGGTCCTGAATGTGAGAAAATAAAGTATCTTTCACCGCAGGCTAGGTTTCTTTGCCTCAAGTTGGCAGCTTGCCTCTATTAGCCCTTCGTGCACCTTGCTCTGGCTTGTTTTCTCTAAGCAGATCATCAATACGCTTGCTTCTTCTAGGAATGGTTTCGATCTTCCAACAGCTGCTGACTTGAGGATTTTCTTCTCCTCTCCCTTAGTTGTGGTTCCAGCGTGCGTTCTGCAGCGGCCCGACCTGCTGGTGTGGGCTCACTGTGCATTGTGTGTCTGCTGTGCTTTTCTTGCTGTGAGAACCTCCTGGGGTCACAGTGAAACCGTTTGCAGGCGTTACTAGCATGCGCATTACTATACAGAGTATTCCTCAACCCTTGATCTCAGCTGTGTAAAAAGGTAGTATTTGAAAAATCACCAGGATATATGCCTGTCCAGTATTTGACCTGCTTTTTTTTGTTGCTATGGTTGCCATCTGTTTACACGTTCATGAAAGAAACTGGTCTTGATGAATCCTTCCTGAATGTATACATGTGTTGTCTTTCACTGTGCAATCATGTTAGTAGAAAGCGTTAGTTTGAGCTAAGGCTTAGCGGCCAGGGGTGGCCTTTGTAGAAGGAGGGCAGGGCTGTCGAAGGGAGATGAGCACCAAACCTTGCACAACTGAATTCCTTTTTCACTGTCACACTCGTTTTAGAAAAATGTGCACGGCCTTGAACCCAACCATTTTAGGAGGAAGAACAGCAGTTATTAGGTCATTTTGGTTGTGAACTTGAATCGGGACAGCCTCGTATTTTGTAGCAATTATAATTTTTTCACATTATTTTTCATTCGTTGCTTCAGAGCTGGCCCAGTGAAAATCTCTCTCTGTGATCCCGCGCAGACTAGGACTAAGGAGAGTGGAATCAACACATTCCCTTCTGTGAGGGGCTCAGGTTATGTTTGTCAAACTTGGCTTATGTATCTTGTAAATATTCCCCATTCTGGTTATTTACATAGAACTGAATTTAGGATGGCAGATCACACGTGAAGAAAGAAACTTGAGGATTTTCATTCACAATTGATTTTGAAGTAACAAAAGGAAGCTCAATTATTATCTCTGTGCCCTGTGAGTTGAGTGCTACTGTTGGCTTTCGGTTTTGCTTTTAATGGAGTTGTATATATATGTGTGTACACATATACATGCACGGACAAATTATATGGCTATATTCATAGAAATTGAAAGGCTAAAACCGGTAGGAAGTAGTACTCCTGCATTAAAAGATCCAGTAATGTAGATTTCCTTTTACACCCTGTCAACCATTTCCATGGATGTTAGACCATTTTGGCAGTCATTTCCCTTGAACCAATGACAAGGCTATGTAAGCATTGCCTGAATAAAGTGGGTGTTAATTCCTGGGCTTGGTAACTATAAGTTAAAGAATGAGGCATTGGTTTTCAGCGAAAAGAATTCCAACATTATTCAAAAGCCCCCAGGTTAATCCATCAGCTGCCAAGGTGTTCTAAAATGAAATGCTCTATCCACAGCCCCAGAAGAAATTAGGTTAATCACAAACCAGGTTGT